GTCAATTCATCCGGCTACCTCAAGCTCATTTCGACCCAAGGTTTAATAGCTATAACCCAACTTGTTCGTTTCAATTGAAGTTAATTCAGCGTGGGGAATTTGTGTGTCGATAAAAATGTTGGAGTTATTTGAATATTGGGAAATTGGTGTTGATTAATTGAAGTGGTATTTGTTTTAAAGATTGGGATTGTTGATCTTGGTTATCATTGTTGAAATTGGTTTGATTGGGCTCGATTGTTGAATTGGAGTTTGGGAAGTTTGTGTGTTCGGGTAATTGATTGGTGAATTGTTCTAAAGGGGTTTGAATCTTTTTATTGGAGATGTTTGGAATTGTTGTTTTGGTTGTACGGGTTGCGATGGAATTGTTTTGTTGTTGATGCGAGGTTATTGTTGATATTTCGATTAATTGGGATGTTACTTTGATTGAATTTGGAGTCGATTGGGATTTTTAGTATTGGTGGACACGTCTTGCCGGACGTGTCAAATTCTTTGTTGTCGGACGGGTCGAATTTCTTGTTGCCGGTCATGTCAATTTTCGTACGATGCCTTGGTCGAATTGTTAAATGAAAGAGAGTTCTCGGAGTCGCTCGATATCCGGTTGTTTAACCGAAGAGCCGTCCATTGTAGAAAATTGTTTATTGGCCATGCCGAGGTTTATGGAGAATGTCACTTTTGGGCTCGAGGCCCGATTTTTGAACTTTCAAGTTTATTTACGTCTTCGTCGAGTATTCATGGATTCACGTCTCTCATTCCTCCGGGACGTAAAAAAATGAGGCCTCTATTATGCTTTCAATGTTCAAACACCCGGGAAGCTCATAGAATTTTGCGTGCTCAATTTGTACACGTTCGGATGACCTCGGTTGGAGCTCGAAGGACATTATCGTTTTTATTCTCTCTTCCAACCGGACGAACACCTCGACACACTGTGGGACCCCACCGTGTTGAGTACGCGCTTTCTTTTCCCTTCTTTATTTTTTTTTTCTTTTTTTTTTCTATATGTTATGTGTTTCTTTTTTGTTTTCGTTTGTATAGTTCATTTATCTTGTCGAGCGCATGAGCTTATGTGATTACGTGCTCTTTCCTATGCTTTTTGGGTCAAGCAATGATGACATTGCTTTGTTTTAAGTGTGGGGGAGGGGTTTACGTGATTATGCATGCTTAGGTGTCGTTTTTCTTATTTTAGGTCTTTATTTTTCGTTTTGTGGACCGGTTTTATTTGAGTTTTTGTGTGTTTGTGTCATCTCTCCCGCATGAAACTTGATGTTTGTTCGAGAGTCGAGATAGCTAAGTGGTGAGTCGAGATTATTGATTGGTTTCACTATTAGCATTCATGCTTGATGTACTTGATGAATTTGACGGTTTCCTTAAATTGATTGATGATTCGTTGACATTGGAACTCGCATGTGGATTAACGGAATTATTTCGTCTTTCGTTCGTTTTTGATTGGTTGTCTTGAGGCATGCTTTCCTTATGTTCGATTATCGTTGTAACGTGTTAACTATACACTTGTGGTACATTTCGTTTGATTTGTGATGATTATGTATTGTAATTCTGATGTATCCTTGTGTGCCTCTTCCTAAAAAAAAGGAATAAAAAGTGAGTTCGCGAGGAAGTACGGATTAGGCTCCTCTTATTCCGAACCATTCGTGGATTGGGATAATGAGCCCGGGGAACCGGTTTAGGAGACTCGGGGAAACCCCTCGAGGTCAAACCTAGATCATCTCGTCCGGAAACTTCGTTTGGAAATAAAAGCTCACAAAATGAGTTCGTGGGAGTCGAAAGAAGTATACTAGTAAATGCGGAAGCTTTAAGAATAAATGGGAGATTATTGGTGTATATACTGAAAGCTTTGTTTTAGATGTATTTACGCTGAACCCATTTGAATGAGAATCATGTTTAATTAAACAAGTCTATGTTCTGTTGTTTTTTACTTAGATAAAATGGTTCATTAGCG